AGTCAGCGGAGGATGTGAGGGGGGAGGTGGAAGGGGCTGAACTCCCCACTGATGTGGAGCTGGAAGGTGGAGGTGCTGTGACTGTTGATGAAGACCCTGAGGAGGAAGAGGAGGTGGACTTAGGCATGGGGGCAGCAGCGTCGGATGGAGAGGTCGTGGCAGCTGTGGTGGCAGCTGTGGTGGCAGCTGTGGTGGCAGCGGCAGGAACAGCAGGTTCCTCTGAAGTGTCTGTCGTCACTGGCCTCTCGGGGGCACTGGAGTTCTGACTGGAGTCTGCTGCAGGGGCAGCTGGAGGATTTGACGAGGGCTCGGGACGGACGGCTGTTCCTGAAAACAAGAATAATAAAATCACTATAGCTGCTTTCAGACCTGCGCTGAAGTCTGGACATTTTCCTGGAGGGGCTATTTGTGAGTAGGCAAATGTCTGAGTCTGATGCTCCGCAACTTTTCTGGCCAGCTACCCTAGTTAAATGTCCAGGAAATGTCTGAATGAGCCCATGTGAGAATACAGCAGAAAAAAGTCCAGAAAATCGAGCGAGTGGGCCTGTGGAAGACTTCCTCTCACCTCTGGGTCGTGTCTGTGGTCGCGTTCCTCTGCTGCTCTGAGCCTCGCTGGCCTCCTCAAACCAACGAGACAACATGTCCGACATCCTCTGCATCAGAGATACGTTTGGGCTCTGCTCCCCTACAGTGAAGGAAAAATAAACACCTCAGATGTTGTCAACTGTTCATAAATGTTAACATCACAGATCATCCTGGTGGCATTTCAAAATAGGAACCTAAGACAACATAAGATTGATATTTTCTTTCCCCTTAGAAATAAAATGGGAGCTTCGATTTACACAAAACAGGGACCTTGTTGGTAAAGGAGCAAAATTACAAATCATTTGACAGCCAAATTAAAAAACAACAGGTGATGAGAGTCCGACCCAGGTGATTTTACCAAGTCGCTCTCTGCTCGGGGAGGGGCTTTTGTTTTTTTAAACAAATTTTAAGTATGTTAATTCTGAAAATAAACTTCCATCTCTCTGGTCAGACCACTTCAGATGTTTCATTTTACTCCTGAACAGCTTTCTCTTTGCAGACGGGACAGACAGACAAAAAAACAAGTGGCTGAAATCTATATTCATTTATTAACAATTACGTAATGTGAGAAGTATTATTCATAGTGAAAGTTTTCCTCAATTCTGCAGAACTTTACTACTTTGGTTCACTGTCACTTCTCTCACAGTGCTGATCTGAAAACTACCTGCTCAGCACCAAACAGGCGATTGACACACATAACGACTGGCTGGTGAACATAATGCAGCATTAAGCAGCTAAAGAGCCAGATATCTGGATTAGGAACTGATGGGGACGTGAAACAGAGCTAAAACCAGAGTGAACACTGGGCTTTAATTCTAGAAACATGATTTCAAATGAATGACAATGCAGTAACTGTTAATAAAGGGTAATATCTTTCAATTCAAGTTTTGTATTTGTATCTATTTAGGTTAGCACTTAGCATGATTAAGCACAGTTTGGTATCTGTGACGTAAAAGAGGAAAAGCTTATTTTTATCCTCTGATTTTGCAGCATAATCAGAAAATGACTGGGTTATTCTAAAACAGAAAAAGCTGTGAGAAAATGGATTCATGATGAGCCACATCCAACAGTGATGTGTAGGGGACCTTGTTAAAGTTCTTCAGGGGCCTGATGTGTAATTTGAGATCTCTGCTTTAAACTAAACATACATGTCACTGTGATCTTACCGTCTCTCTCCCTCTCGCTCTCAGGACGAGCTCGGGGTCCAGTGTCAGACCAGTCACCTCGTAGTCGGAGGCGTTTCACTGGAGGCTGCCTCAGCTGGGGAAACACACGCACAAGGAAATATTAGCAGCTTGTCAGTCAAAGCAAGATCAAAATTAGCTCCGCTGCCAAAGCAAAACACTGCACCACTCTGTCAGTTTCCTCTTTTAAGTGCCCCCTCCTTCCTCTCTGCACGACTGAGGTTGCCATCACTTTCCAGTCCCCTGGCTCTCGCTGCTACAGGGCAACAGGCTGACGGCCAGAAATAGAAAGTGCAGCGTCTATCAACTGCTATCAACTTAAGAAATGTCATCGGGTCTGGACATGGCCTGGAGGTGGTGAAAGGGGTCCAAGAGGGTGAATGAGATTGTAGCAAGGGGAAATAAAAGCCCCTGAACAAATGGGGTCACAGGTAGAAAAAAAGGGGAGGGCTGGGTAATGAGCTTCTACTTGGCTGGCACCCCACACCCCCCACCCCCCTCGCTCTGAACTATTTTGGAGGACAGAGGAACACTGCCTGCGTCAGTCGCTGAATTTGGAAAGGAATGCGTGTGGTGGTTGCATCTCGACACAGCTGAACTCACCACGAGGCTTTGAAACGCTGGCACCATGATCCAGCACATTCACTCACATGTGCAGCAGTGACTGGTTCTCACCACGAACACCTACATTTATCTGAGGTGCAGTTTTCCTGGCTGTTCATTTATCTGATCTCCGAACCAAGCCCCTCCACCAGACAGATACACAATGAACAAAGTAATTGTAAGAAAATACTCATGCTGTAGATTGTACACATTTTCCATCATGTTTTTCTTTCTGTCTTCATCCCTGCATTTCCTCCCCCTCACCTCCGTCCTCCTTGCCTCTCTCTGAGGGTCATTTTGCTCTGCTCACTGCACTGCATCAGCCAGTACAGATTTAGCTCTGATGTCCGCAGCGCTCTCTAGGAAGCAGGCAGCAACAACAAGCAGACATCGGCTCTATTCACAACAAACAATCCTTTCATGGTCCCTGCAGGTTGTATCCTACTAACTAATGATCCCCAGGTCATTAACTTTAACCTCAACATTATTGTTCACAACCAAACACCTGCAAAACTGATTATATTCCCATGAGCAGCAGTTCTACTTTGCGTTCAGCACCAATGAGCTTAAACAGTGAACTCAAAATGACTACAAATCAAATAGTCATTAAGATTTATCCTCCTCAAGTCTGCAAAGCTAAGCTGCTAGCATGCAAAAAAACACAATTCCCGTCAGGACTCGTATGATGTCACTACTTGAGTCTTTCCTGTGCTCTCACCTCCTCCCTCCTCTCCTCAGAGGGGCCCTTCAGCTCCCGGGCCTGGTCATCTTTGGGATTGAACAGGTAGATGTAATCGGAGGAGTAGCTGACCAGCACCTCCTGTCCGTCCTCGCTGTAGCAGAGAGACGTCACCCGGCACGACTTGTTGGACAGGTGAGCGGGAACAAAACGAACGCACATGCCCGTCGTCCCCCGGCCCATGTAGTTACCTGAGGAAGAGAAACGGTGAGATATTCACAGCGTCAAGGGAGCTGTTTGGATTCTTACAGGACTTACGGACGTGTCTTTGGCTATTGATTGTTAGGTGGCAATGTTGTTACAGCCTGAACTAAAAACCGAATGAGACACTCATCATGTCTGCTTCATCACCTCCATCTGCCAACTTCACTTATTAATGACTAACTCTTTTACCTGTCGCTCTGGTTCCCAGCATACGTCTGTCGTAGATTCGCACTGAGCTGTCGGAGCAGCCCACAGCCAGATAATATGGCACCAGTGGAGAGATGGATATAGAGGTCGCTGCCCTCCGACAGTTAATCAGGATGTCCTGAAATCAAAGAATGTGATGAACTTTAAAGAGCTTCAAAGTGAATAAAATAAAGTAATTTCTGCTCAGTAACAAAGGAAGTGGCACTTTTGAGAATTTGGGGTATGTGCAGATAATTGTTGATGATCAAAATATACACCTAGTTACCAGTTTATTTATTTATACTCCAAGCTTAAACTAAACCAGCCTAATACAAATGTCTAGCATCAAACCCTAATTTCATCAAGGTAATAATGTTCTGTTTTTATGTTTCAAAGAGAAGTTGATTTAACTTTATGGATAACTAAGAGAAAGAGACGTGAGAGGGTCTGGAAAAACTGTCCTGGCAGTTTTAAGGTCACAGGTACTGATCTGCAGCATGAAACATGAGAAGAAGCAACACAATCTGGGATACGCATGCACGCACGCATGCACGCACGCACGCACGCACGCACGCACGCAC